ATTCTTGTGTGGTTTTTGCAGGTGTTGGTGTTGGCACACTCGGACAGAGAAGCCCGAAGATGAAAGAGGGAGGAGGCTCTGCAGGCTCAGGGTCTGGGCTCTGACCGTGCGGTGGAGGTCTGAGGAACACAAATAAACACACACACACACACACACACACACACACACACACACACACACACACACACACACACACACACACACTGTACTCCGCTGTATAATGCTGCATATGTAACTGCGTTGTAAATACTGTAAAACAGGAACAACTATCTGTTAGAGGTGTATTATCTGTTATCTTTTTTGTGTCAGATATTAAATGTATGTGTGTGTATATATTGAGAGGGTGTGTGTGTGTTGTCACAACAATGTATGTTACTGTATGTATCAGGTTTTATTTTATTACAGTGAGTTAGTGTCTTTGTCTAGCAGTCCAGGGGAGGACGTTTCTGGAGGTTGCCTGATGGGGGCACCATTTTTAAATATTGCAAAGCCATGCTGTTACACCACCAGGACATTTCTCCTCTAAGCTCATTACAGAGAGCCATGCTTGCATCATTCACTTGTTTACTTGTGTTGAATGTAATCCTGCTGTGTGACTCACTCCTGATGGTTGTTAGGTATTTAAATGGCTCTGTTTCCATTAGTGCAGCCTCACATCTCCACTGATATCTGACCGGGGTACAGTTGCAACGGAGCACTTTATTCATGCATGGCTTCTATTACGCGTGATAGCTGTCTGTAATTCTGTACTCAACCATATAGATGTGTAGTTACATCCACCAAGGAGGTCATTTTTTTCAGTTTAGTTTGTTTTTTATACCAATATTATGGATTAATTATTGGCCTGACTTCCATGAAACCTGTGGAAAGGGATATAGCGTGGGCAAAGGAAGAACCCAGATTATTTATCACTTGTAAACAGACCACATGAGCAGTTGGAAAGCACAGACTTCTGCTCAGGCCGTTTCCATTGGAAAAAATGATATGTGTGTTGTATCCATTTCAGGGTTTGTATCCACCTCTAAAATGTTACGGAATTACCTTTTTCCTTTGCTAATGTTTTCTCCCTTCTATCAAGTTTCACAAAAGTTTCCCTGACCCAGAAAAACAAACCAAACTGAAATCATAACCTCTTTGGCGGCAGTAAAAACCATCACCATCATAGGCATGATAATAATCTTGTATGCAACCTGTCTAATCAAAATGCATTTGCAATCAAAGTACAGTAATCGTATTGTGGATCAGTGGTGCATTTCTTTACAGATAAATATGCTATAATAATAGAAAAATAGTTGTATTAATGATGTTCTCACATACCTGTGTTACACACATGAGTGGTGCAACTTAGCAACAGTGTGGTGCAACAACACCACATACAGAATGACACGGTTCCACACCCGCTGTGGCTTCAGTGTCAATGCTGGTTTTCACAACAGCTTGTTCTAACCTGCATTTTTATGTGTATATTTTTAGTGATGCTTTTTAAAAACGTAGGGCTTTCGGAAGCAATTTAAGAGCCCTGAATTAAGGGATCAACACTACTGAAACTCATAGAAATTCCAATACAGTATGCAATAAGCAGATAGAAAACATGTCGTCTGTGTTATATAATCGCTGATGACAAAAAAAAGACTTGAATTTGCCTTTTATCGGCAGGGAATCCCTGGTAATTTACACTAGCTGTGTAAACGCTCTAAATATACATTGAACTTCTCTATTTTGCTTGATTATCTTCCATTAAACCTTCAGAATTTGGAAGATAAAGATCAAATAACATCCCAGCTCAAAGGAGTGCTGCTCAGCTACTGTTGTATGTGTAAAAACAGCTAGTGCCTGCTTTAATGTAATTAGTGCCTGTACAGTATGTCATTTCTCTACTGGTGTATTATGTATTTATTATTGTAAGAATATTGTTCTACACATGGTACAATGTGATGTCTGTCATTGACCTTGAAAATAAACATTAATAATGTAAAACATGTTTTGTCATTGTTTTCTTTGAGGGTTCAATGGTTTATGCTCCTATTTAAATGTTGCTCTTTGGTGTTTGCAGGCAAAATGGATGGAAGAAATGTGAGTTTTATATTTATCACCTGCTGATATGTGATTGTTTCGGCAAAAGTAAGTCTGAAGGCTGACGACCTCTAATACAATAAGATGTTTCTCTTCCCTGCAGATAAACATGGCAGACATTGCTTTTGTCTTTTTCTAATGACTTGCATAACACATTTTGTATTCTGACCGCAACTATTATAAGAAATGCTGACTTGACTAACAGTGAAGACCGCCGGTTTAATGGGATCTGAAACGCAGCCAGGAGCACATCTGGTGTGTGTCTTTTTGTTATCATTTTCTTTCGCTTTGTATTTGTTTTTTTAATTTATATTTTGTGTCTGTCTTTATATGTGTTGTGTGTCTCTTTGTGATCTATTTGCAGATGTTGTTTTTATGGTCTCTTTGATTCTCTTACTCATTGGTACATGTCATCTTCTTCAGTGATCCATCCATGACTATGCTTGTGTCTTTTATCACTTTTGTCTGCCTCTTTATGTTCTAACATCTCGGTTTTAGGTCTTCCTGAACCGTCACCAAATCCTATGATTACAATACCAAACCCTGACTTGTCTCTGCTTGACAGACGGCAACCTGCTTCCAGCGTCCACTCACCGTCAGCAATGATGACCCCTGAGGCTGAGGCTTTCACAGGCCGCTGTGATTGACAGCTGTTACGCCCCCTGTGCCCGCAAGCTGACTATATATGGAGGTGAGAGTCTACCTGAGTGCCACACACACACAAACACACACACACAGACACACACTCGATGAGGGTGAAGTGGTAGGTGAGTAAGAGGAGCTGAACTCATAGTCGCACGCCATGTTTTCATCCACAGTGATTCCCTCACACAGAATAGACTACCTGTGACAGTAGAAAGTAGTTTCGTTACTGTAGACCTTAAACTATCATCATATACTCTGTCATGCTTTCACCCTTAAATAACACACATCTCATGTAATGTGTGTGCGTTACTGCCGGTGTGTGTTTTCCCTCTGTTGGTGTGTCATGGTATGCATGTGTGTGCATGTTCAAGTAGGCGTGTGGGAGCTTTACATCCTCAAACTGACCTTAGAACAACATGTGGATAATTACTCAACACACACACACCCTGACACAGTGTTAGCATAAAAACAGTGAGATAACATTCAAGCTAATCTTACAAACACATACCTTTCATAAACAAATACCACCTTATCAGGAAAGAGAACCTTATTACATAATGTAAATGAAAGGAAGGCAAATAATGTCCTTTTAGAGACAGCCATTTTGAACGTAGTAGGTCACACTATGTCTCAAACCAACAAACGATTTTTGATGTGAAGACATTTAAAGAGAAGCGCTGCTGGGTCTGTGGGGTGAAGCTACTTGAATCCTTCATGTTCTGTGATTGTTCTATCTTGTGAAGGGATAATCGCATTAGTGGGAAATTGTCTTATCAAATGAATCACACTGTAGAGTTTGTGAAGAATAATAATGGCTTCATTTCACATGAGCAATATGGATTTTAAATTACGTGTTGCAACCAATATAGATCTCCATTTTTTAGATTCAAAAAATCAAGATTCAAAGGCTCGATTGTGATAAATCAATAGTTGGCTCTGAAATTCTTAATTACCAGGCTCCTCAAACTGTGCAACATATGAAATACAAGACATAAAGGAAATAAGTAAGAAAGAAAGTGCTATAAAATGGTGCAAGTTACACATAGTGCAGGTAAAAGGGAATAAGACAAACAATGTGCATAGAATGAGATAAAACAAAATGTAATACTGTACAGTGAAATAAAATACTGCTTATTGTAAAATGATATGTAAACTGAACGGGGTCATGGTCAGCTGTAGCCTGCCCCTTTCACTTTGTCATCCTTGTTATCAGTTGTGTCACTTAATGATGATTCATCGTTCATGATTACATGGCTAAAGAATGAAGGATTAGAGAAAGTATCCATGGAAGGAGACGTAATAACAAAGACTATTTATGGTACTTATATTAGAAGAGGGTCTTGAAATTCAGACAAAATGACCTCAGTGAGATAAATAACCTTCAGCTCGAGAAAAAACTGCCACCTGTTGTTTATACGAAAGGCTGGGCTCCTCACTAGAGGTGAGGAGTATTGCCCCATACATTAAGTTATACGTTTGCAAAATCAATCAAATGTAAGTCAATTATGCTTGATACTTCAATATGCTTACATCACAGCTCTCCATAGGTTTTTTCTTTATTTTGTAACAAAAAGTGTTGGCAGCTCATTCCTTAAAACAGAAGCCTCAGATTGCTTATAATAAGGGGAAATAGGAAGGGTCTATTTCAAGATGGTCATGCAGATAAGTTATTTTTATCAACTAAGATTTGTTAGAAAATGTTTTCAACTTGAATTGAAATGTTGGTTTTATTAACAGATAAATACTACTGTGTAATATGTGTTTACATATATATTTTAATGGGAAAAGTACAAATTTGAGGTGTGGGCCATATTCCATTATACAATATGGAGGGGCTGCAGTTGGCCCCCGGGCCGTAGTTTGGACACCCCTGCTACAATGAGGTATGTGCTGTAGATTTTTATGAAAACCTTTAGAAGGTCACATCTCTGCTCTGCTTATCCGTAACGGCAGAGGACGTTCTGGTTAATGATTGATATGAGAGTAGGAGGTTTGCTTCAGGTGTTAGAATGTTTTTGTCAGTTGGAATATTTTATCATATAACGTATGCGAGTGAAGGCAGCTGAAGCTTTGAATCAGAACTTTATCTCCAAGCTAGCATGTGTTTAAGGATGTGAAGAGAAGGTGTGTGTGTGGTTACAGAAAGAGAGTGCTTTGCTGCATGTGTGTGTGTGTGTGTGCTCTTTGTGTGTGTGTGCGTTTGCTCTGCTGACGACAGAGCTGCAGGTCGGGGGGTGTGTGACGCTGTGTGTTCGGGGAGTATCCTGAGTGAAATACACACAGGAGATTTAACTCACACACACACACACACACACACACACACACACACACACAGAGGCAGAGACGAGACGACAGAGAGAGATCAGGTAAGACTTCTTATATTATACTTGCATTGTACTTATTGCTACACTATGACAACCTTCAAGATTAATTATCATGTGTCTATAAGTTAGTTTATGTAAGAAAACATGTCACTTGTTTTCATATCTGTACCCTCTTAGAAAATATTCTCTCAAAAGTCACTGAACTGACTTTAGTATTTGCTCTCCTGCTGAGAGATAGAAGGGGAGATTGGAATCGCTCTCTAACATGATTAATATTGATGTAACACTCGGCAAGAAACGTAATAAGAGTACCAAAACATCAAACTTTTTGTTGAACTGTCGTAGTGCTTTTGTTTACAATAGCTGCTGTTTAAAAATAGTCAGCATAAGGGCAAACTGTAACTACAAATATGTTTTCTTTAACCATCTTTTTGTGAAATGTAGATACTGGCAGGCAGTGGTGTAATGCAGTGAAGTACATTTACTCAAGTATTGTATACTTAAGTACGATTTTGGGGTACTTTTTTATGTTATGCTACTTTACATATTTATATTCTAAGGTAATACAATATATAAATACATAAACTATGATATATAATTATAGGTTAAGATATCCAGCAGCAGTATATGAAGTAATTCATTTAGCTCTAAACAGCAGTGATGAACGCTGAATAATAATCCAGGAATTTGATATATATAATTCTCAACTTGGACTTTACACACAATTAGTACTTTTACTTTTGGTACTTTAAGTTTATTTTGATGCTGATGCTTTTGTACTTTTACTTGAGTAAGATTTTGTGTGCAGGACAGGAAATACTCTGTTACAGGACTACTTATTGTAACAGATACAAAAAAATATGTATAACTGAAATAGAGCTTGTGACAATGTAGGGTTGGATTGTGAAACATTTAAAGGCAAGCTATATTGAATCAAGATCAAGAGCAGTTGTCCAGGCCGACAGAAAATAACCTCTGTAGCGCTGAACTTTCTCATATTTCTCATATTTTATGGATTTGATCCTACATTCTTCTAACTCTAACTAAAAACAAGCCACAGTCAGGCTGTCTTTGCCCGTTTTTAGACAGAGTCAATATGGAGTCATTGATTTTGGCTGCTGTACTGAATCCATCTGGTTACATCAGTGACAAAGTCTGAATCTGTGTGTTTGTCTCCAGCTGATTATGTTATGTAGTTCAATGCATACCATTCACAGCATGCCAACAGCTACGCATACCCTAAGATTATTTTACGTCCTGGTCTCATTTCATGGCAATTTCTCTCTGCTTTTGCTTGGGCTCGTATGAGATTCTCTGGCAGCTACTATGGAATGATTGTGTGTAAAAAGACACCCAAAGAATGAGGTGAGGGTTATGTAACGGTGTTAATCTCTCATCCATTCCAAATGATCTTTCAGGTGACGAGAAAGGAGCTGTAAAGCAAGAAAACTAAAGACGAAAAGATGACAATTGGGAAGAACTCGAGGAAAAACTCTGCCCGGAGCTCCATCCGGGCCCCAAAGTTTCTGGACAAATCCAGTGGCTTCTACGGCCGCCTCGATGAGCCAGAGACCCCTGGAGAAGGGGAGGAGGTGGGGGCACAAGAAGTGGAGGAGACAAGGGACAGCAACAAGGAGGCAAGCAGCCCAAGTGTGGTGCATGTTTCTGAGAAAGAGGAAGTGGAGGCGTTTGACCACAATGAAGGGATGATAGAAGACGACGGGGAGACTCTCCTCCAGAGGAAACCCAGCCGCCGCAGCAGCAGGTGGAGCAGAAGCTCCAGGAGGAAGCAGAAGGAGGGGAGGGTGGAGCAGGACGCAGCCCAGGAGGAGAGGCCGAGCGCAGGCACAGAGAGTACAGACACCAGGGTGATGATCCAGGTGGAGACAGGAAAGGGGAAGGAGTCCACGATGGTTCACTTCCCTGTTCGAGAGGATGAGGACGACCAGGTCCTGATCAGAGAAAAGAAGAGGGGGAGGGAGGAGGAGGGAGAGAAGGAGAGGAGGATGAAGAAGGAGCAAGAGGAGGGGCTGAAGGAGGTGAAGAGGAGTACGGCGAAGAATTATCGCAAGGTGAGAAATTAGAAAATGATCAATTAATAGATATACCCCCAGTGTATTGCTTACATTAACACAACTATCTAGTGCTTAGGAGGTGAAGGGAAAAATGTAATTTGGGAAGTTGGCCTTTGATAAAACCTATTGTAACTCCACCGACACAAGTTATAAAATTAGTCAAATAAACACCTACATTTATATTTGTTATGTTTTCTTTCCATTAGTCTGAAAGAAGACATGTTCTGGATGCTTAATAGCCCAGCGTCACCCCCCTGGTTAAATGTTAAGCCCCTCAGGGTTTGTCGAACAGAGGGGTAAAGTTCTCCCTCCACATGCTGGGCTATTAATCACCATGGTAACTATCACCCACCGTAATAAACCACCGGCGGGGTCAAGGTCCAGCAGCCATCGGTGCATGTCACCATCTCACTCACTTCCTCTGGTAGGATTCTTTCCTTTACGTCACGTTTAATTACCAGCAGAAATGGAGCTGGAACAGGGAGGACGCTCACTAAAAGCCACGGAGCCGCGCGTCCCTCACCTGATTCACATGTTCCCAACCATGTTCTGCTTTCTTAGACACACACAGCGCAGAGGTGACATTCCTGTGGCTCCAGTATCGTGTCCTTTGATCAGTGGAACCAAGTCTGGCAGTGTTGACCCGCCTGCTAGGCTCACACTATAAAAACATTCCTCTGTTAACCAATCAGAGCCACCCTCACAGCCTGACCTCTGCACAATATTAGTTTATAAAATGATTAAAAAAAACACAATTATATAAAGTGTTCGACATTGAATAGAACAATCGATTATTAGACAATAAATGTTAAGTTTAGCCCTAAACAACCCATGGGGACGAGACAGTCCATTTGTTTACTTTGACATGTTTTCTACCTGTTGCTTGTCTTCTAGTAAGTTCACAGCATGGCAGTTGATAAATAAAAATGTGAGTTTTGTGAGATCGAGACATCATGAATTCGTCCCACTGAAGTGCCATGTCATAATACAAAATAAAAAAATTCAAAAATAGGAATAAAATAATAATAATACAATTTCAAAAAATGTATGTGAATTCATACAATAAATGAGGTGGCAGCCAGTCATTGCACTAGTAAATTGTAAAACATGTATATCCCACTGTGTTATTTCACAACAGTGTGGTTACAGTATTAAGTAGTGCAACAAAGGAGCAGCGAGAGGGAGGAATGCAAACAATTCAAAACATGTATGCAGAATAAAGTTTGCATCATAAATAAAGAGGAATTAATAGTTAAATGGGTTTAAACAGATTTTTAGGAAGGTACAGAATCATAAAGTCAAGGGAAAGAAACAGAAAAGTCAAAATGACAACAGCAAAGACACCACATCACTACGTCCACGTCACCCTAACAAATACACAATGAGTTATATTACAAACATTATTATCATGTAGTCATTTCCAGGTTGTTATTTTGGATTATTTGATTGCATTGCTAACCTTTACCCTCCTCTTTCGATCAGGCTTTGGACCGAGCGTTTCGCCGCGGCTGGGAGGCCTTCATCACCAACCTGTACAGCGTCACCCTCACTCCTGTGACATCATCCTCACCAACATCTGCATCCTCGCCTTCATCCAAGAAGAAACATCAACACAACTCTGTGCTGGCCGAGTTTCAGTAGAACTTGGAAGAGACATGGACACTAAAACTTAATATTTAGTTATTCAAATCGTGATTATGCAGTTTACGATGGACAATCCTGCCTGTGACATTCACTTTATAGTCTAATGAGTCATACCAAACCTTAATAAGTTACTATCAAGTCTTAATCACTTTAGTTTATTGATTATGAGAAAAATAATGTATGTCAATTTAAGGCCATTTTGAAGTGTCTCTTTGAGGGACATTTTCGAGATGAAGGCCCCTGATTGAGTTTTACTTCAGGATGTGAGGAAGCCATACTGTTAATTTTACATTGAAGTCTATGGGACTGGTTTAAATGTAAAAAGCCTGTTTTTATGTGACTGAGTTAAGGTGGTTTTCCTCTATGTTGCAAATTCAAATCACATCTTAGCTTCTTCATTTCGGTCCACTATTAAGAGCTTGAAGCACTAATGACCTCTCCTTCATTTTGGTTTTGCACAATGAAACTACTAAAGTGTTGACGTGTAACCAAAGGGAAGGACATTTCCAACCGTGTAGCAATGACTGATAAGTGGAGATATTTACATTTCTGTTTGTTAATCATTGCCATTCAAGGCTGTTTGAGAGCTAATCATTAATGAAAGGAGAGACGAACACACACAGCTGATGATTATTTAGATATTTTGGTAGTGATTAACACACATTTAGGTTATTACTTTTAGAGAAATTGAATTTTTTCTCAAGGACTCACAGTTAAAATATCTAAACATAGGTTATTGAATTTCACAAATGAAATGCACATGTGTTTGACTTCCTCACTGTTTGTTCTGGTGAAGGTTATTAACCTGAAGGGGCAGGGCAGGGGAGTGTTTCAAAGAAAAACATATATAATTTATAGCCTGGTTATAAACCACCATAGCTTTTATTGTTAACATTGCACATAAAGTTGGTTATACGTGTTTTAGTACCACTCATTTTTAATGTATTAATGATTTCGATTGTCACAATGAAATATGAAATGTGTACAATAGGCCTGTGTTAATTTCCTGTTGTCAAGTATGTGTCTGGATGTCATGTGTACTCTACTTGCAGACTAGACTGAAAAAGACTTCTAAAAATGTTGTTGATTTTTTTATTTAAAAATTGTTTTGTATCCTAATCATTGCTTCTACAGTCCGGAACCAGCAACAAGAAGCACTTTTCTGAGTAAATAAAGATTTAATTTATTATACTTGGTGTGTTTTCATGTTTAAATGAACAAGTTGTAAAACACAGCATCATGTAGCATCAAATAGTGACCAATGAAAATGCTCAAATCCATAAGCAGATCTATCTCGAACCTGCTGAACTTCGATGAGGAATGTAAATATGTAGTTATCTAATCTTAAATATAACCTTTACAAGGGAACATATAGCCCTTTGAACACCAATATGTTTCAGCTTGGCCTACAAACCATGAGAGTTGCTAGAGTTTTGAGCGTTAAAGGCTACTTCCCTTTTCCAAAAACTATAAATGATGAAATGTAAAATGTCGTTTGAGCTCTAACAGATATTCCTACAGAAAGAGAAAAATACATTAAACAAATATATGTATATATATTTCTAGTAAATATTGGAATAAAATAAAACACTAACATTTTATTATTAATGTTAAAATAGTTCAAATTAACTAATTAAATTCCCTTTTTTATCTTTCTTATTGAGCCGTTGTATCTAACATATATTTCATTTGAGCATTCAAGACTAATTTTCATGTTTATAGAAATTGTGCACGTAGCGTTTGAGTCACAAGGCAGAGAGGTGATATCCAAATAATTAAAACCTATTCGAAGAGATGTTTTCATGCAAACTTTTATCTTAAACTGGTTTACAGGAAATCATTTGTTGTTCAGCTGCAGAACTGTAGTAGTTTTGGTGTTTTGGTGTCTTTGCCGCCACCTTGTGGATTTAAAATATATTACTATTTATTAACGGAAATGACGCAGTTCAATAAACTCTACTAGTGTTTAAATTATTGTTTAGCTTTATATACTAATGTCCACTACCTTAACCCGAAACGAATCTTAAATACAAACATTGTGTATTTTTCTAAAGTTAAATTAGCTTGTGGAAAGACTTTAGCCGGTTTGGCGGTAAAAGTTTCCCTGTGGGCGGAGTCATGACAGGAGATAAAAAGCGGACGGACCGTCTCCTCGTTCATTTCCTCCTCTCTCCTGTTCAAGGTAAGATATCTTCATTGAGCAGTAGTACTTGTTGAATTTATAACGTCTTAAGTATAATATGCTAGTGTAGTGAGCTATGACTTTGACATTATACTTGATATGCAATTGAGCTTTTAAGCTTAATTCCTACCAATTTACCATCGACAGTGGGCTGTTAGCTTTTATCTCATCTGCAGCATTGAGCTTAGCTGTTCACAATCCTTCACCATCCTACACTAAAACTCTTTCTGTTCCTCTTGTGTTGGTGTCAACATGCATGAGAACATATTTCCTAAATGCTGCATTTATTATTTAGTGAAAAACACAAGATGAGTGTTTTAGACTCTTATTAAAAAAAAAAGAAAAAAAAGATGGCTGCCAATCGTTTGCTGTGGCCTCAGTGTCTCTCAATGATGATAATTACACAGACCTGTACTGAATGACTGTGACTGGACTTAATTATTCTGATGCGAGACACTTAAAATATTTGCAAACTCATGCAGTCCTGCACACGTGGAGCCGTCACGTGTTGGCCTTTCAGAGGAAATGACATGCTAGCTACACCCTGCTAAAGTCATGAATGTATAAGGCTAAAGCATTTCTTTTTTTGTTTCTAGATGGGGAAGAAAGATCCACAGACAGCTTGCTTGCTGCAAAGGTAATTTATCCACACCACGTGGCTCTTTAACATCTATTTTATCAGATAGTTTCATGCTACAGTGATGTTTCAATTGAACTCTCTCACTGAAATCTTTTGTGGAAAACATAACTCAAATGCTGAGTAGCATGACTCTTTTATTGTCAGAGAGCACATATGAAGTTGACTTTAAACCCATTACGTTTTTTTTTTTAATTGTTTGTCTACAGTTGTGAGAAGACGGTGGCGAGTCTCTCCTCATCAGGTAAATATCATGTTTAATTGGGTGTAGATTAGCCATAACTTTGCTCAGTGCTGCAATGATGATGACTATAAGAACTCTCTCTTGCCGAATCAACTTTGAAGAATTTTCTTTACCAGATTCTGAGCAGCACATGGGCTCCACTTAATGCATTGTATATGCAGTACTTACGTCTAACTGGCTTATGGTTTGTTAGCAAATGCCGTCCAGTTAAACTTCATGCCAGCTTTTCAGCCTAATAATCAAGAGGTTGAAATGTTGAGCTATTTTGCATAAATTTGCTTTTTTAATTATAAAACGGTCTATGTGATATAAATTGAATATGGAAACTGCTAGTACAAAGGGCCATGTGCTAAAAGAAACAATTTTTTCATTTTTATAGTTTCAAGGCCTTACAAGAATGAAGGCTCTTTCTTTTAAGTTCGCCTGAGCGTTTCCAATTGGCTGCAAGTGCACTGGGGTGAGTGAAATGTAGTTGTTTTTTTAAAGAGTTTATTCTGTCTTGGGGTATAAATATGATGATAATTGACAAGCATATATCTGATATCACTGAAGTAAACCTTTTATTCTGATTACCTCTAAATTAACTAATAAAGAGGATTCATTTCCAAGCAGGTGGTTTAAACTCTTTGTTTTTCTGCTAGGTCGAGTTTCTCAAGATGCTTTGGGCAAGGACGACTCATAAACATCTCAACATGTAAGTCTCAATGAATGAAGAAATCAAACATGCTGTTTGAAATGGGATAAAACTCATCAAACATCTGGACTATTATTTAATAATGCAGTTTCAATGATGATGAACTTAGCTCACTTTGAACCGATGTGAAACGACACGAACAACTGAGAAACTGCTTTATCAAATTTTGGAGCTTTATCTTGAATGTAGCTAACTTGTTTAGAATTGGAGAAATGTAGATGCATACAGTTAAAATGTACCTGTATTCTGCCAACAGATGAATTGACTGAAGGCCTAAAGCTGTGCTGCCGAGTTCAAAGGTAAGCTGTCCTGACTCTAAACACAGAACCAACAGCCATTATTCCAGCCTTGCTGAAAATGATGAGATATATCTATGGAATCTCGTTCGTCTGAACTCCTGTTGAGAAAATCTATATCTGACATCAGTACACGTCAACTTAAAACTGTTCAAGACTTTTAACAATTTGTGCTGACACGTGACGTTTACCTCTTGCAGATGCCTCTCTGGAACATGATGCTCACTGCTCAACAACAAAGGTGTTTGCCCAGGTGAGTTCTGATGTATAAAGAAATGTCTGACTCAATATCTAGACAAATTGCATAGTTTCCTTGTGATGACACCCGCACAAGTCTTACGCCTTGGTTCAATGCCAGAACCTGCAAAGGTGGACCCACTGGTGTTACCTTGGCAATAAGGTGAAGACCTGTTGGGGTTACCAACAGTCTGAATGGAAACGCTAAGATTAAATATAATTTTGTAATGGGGCAATTT